GCTCCACCAAACCTCAAACTGCTGCCTTTCCTCAGCTTGGCTGGAGAATCCAGATACTTCAATGTCTTCCTATCCTCAATGTGGTTGGAAAATGAATGCTTGATCTGAGACCTTGCTCCTGTTTTATATACAAATCATGAGTCCTGGGATTGAAGACATGGGATCCCAAGTGCTGAGATCATCTTTGTGTGAGCTGTTTCTCTTTAGGACTAGATCAATTTCATGTAGCTCAGTGTAGCCTGAACTAACAGAGATCTGTCTATCTACCTCTGAGTCCTGGGATTAAAGATGTGTACCACCACTTTCTAGCTCTATGGCTGCTGGGATTAAAGGTGTTAATCCTTTTGCCTGACCTCTAGAACTTGTGGCTGATCTTGCTTTCTGAATCCTCAGGCAAGCTTTAATAAATCATAAATAATATATCACCACACTATTTCTGTTGAAAAACTTGTTTGGCTTCTGGCCAACCCACAAACTAGCTCTCCCCCATCCCAACAACTCTCTCTCCCTTCTGCATGCCGAGATAAGCCCATCTCACTCACACATTTCTCCTGAAAGTGCTTCCTTGGGATACAACTAGAACACATGCTTGTCATCCTGATGTCTCTATGTGTGTAACCAAACACTGCCAGTCTTTACTGAAAGCCTGTAGATCAAATCAAACCAAACTTCAGGTCAGTTCCCAATGGTAGAAAGTAATTAACCTCTTACAGAAAAAGTGCTGTTAAAACCAAGTCTCAAGCCCTTTGCCTTCATTAAATATAGTGAAAAGGGTTATTTGTATGCTGTCAGAATTTGCAACACGGAAAGGTAATTTTAAATTCTATATGGTAATAGATGGTTTTAAGGGAAGAGGCAAAATGTTGCCCTGAAAGGGACTGTCTCTTTCACAACTCTACTAAAATCACCAATATAGGCTGAAGCTGGAACCCAGTACTGTAGCACCTGACAAGCGTTCAATCGTCAGCAAGATGAGGGAAAAGTCTCTGCCAGGTAAAATGCTTTCTGCCTGTAATTTCAGCACTCAGGAACTGCATCAAAGGCTAGCCATGAATCTGAGGTGAGTGGGTGCTACAGGATATCCCAGGCCAGCCTGAACTACAGAGTAAGACCCTGTCCCAAATATCCAAAAAAGAAAAGGGCTGAAATACTGAGGATGTAACCCTCTTGTTACTTGTTTTGCAGACTTGTTTTTCTCTTGGCCAGAACGAATCTCATTCCCTTTCTTGTAGATCAGCAGTGAGCCTCAAGGACTATTTCAACTCTTATTCTGG